AGACTGTCAATATGCAAATACCTTAAGTAAAAACTTTTTTGTATAAAATAAACAAATAAACTAAATAAATACCTAATGTGAGCGCTCCCATATTGTTTTAATAAACCAACAGTAGACTTCACCATAAAATTTTATTTATTATTATATATGAGACCCACTGAGTCTATAACTAAAAGCAAGCTGAACGTCCCAAGGTATCAGTAAGAAACAAAGCGAATCTGTTAAGCTCTGCAAACCTCGGCGATGCTTTAGTATGCGAGCTTCTCGGCTTAAGCAATGAAATAGTCAAATTTATTCAAGCTTAAGACTGCTCGAAGGTCAAAAGAAGAAAATTTAAGTTATTAAACTGTATGATAGCCGTAGTATGATTGTCTTAGGAGTAAGTATTAATTGAATTGGATTTACGATAGACTCATTATCTGGATGGCCTTAAACTCGTTTTCAGTACAAACAATAGATTATAAAAGTAGGTTATAAAAAGTTACGTGAACAAACATGTAATATAAGTTTTTAAAGCCTATAATTAAGTGTTTAGGTGCAATAAAAAAGAAGTATACTCTAAACCTCTATAGTAAACTACAAAAACTCGAGTAATGCCCAAACCTTACGGAGTTTGCGTAAAAAATAAAAAATTAGTTTTCATAGGAAAAGTAATTATTATATGTTAACTTTCATTAGGCCGAGAAGCAATTATGTATATTAACAGTAGTTCACTAATAGAAGTGACAGCAAGAAAGAGTGTTATATGAGCTTCATTTATTCTTTATCTATTTAATATAAACCCGGTTAAATTACTCCGAACTTTTTTTATCTTCATCTGTGCCAGATGTTCTTTATCCGAAATTGTCAGCTTAATATAATAACTTAAGGTTTAAGGATTACTCTGTGTAATAAAACTAGACGTTTAATGTAGCGGAATGCCATATGTTGAAGTTATAATTAGTCTGTAAGTATATCGATCGCGTGGTCTCATTTTTTAAAATGAATTAGCGTTTCTTAATTTTATCATAATTTTCTGCAATTAAAATAACTTAGTCTATATCAGAATGACTTCACTAAAACTTCCGGCTAACCAGATGTCTGAATTTACTATATTTGTAAAGGTGTACCCAATTTCATTTTGGGTCAATATCTTTTTGGCACCTTTTGGTTTCTATCGGGTTCAAGTCTACATAAAATATTAATTAAAAGGTTACAGAAGTTTTAAGTAATTTTATAGTTGTATCTCTACACGCATAAATGTGTGCAGTGTTAATTTTACAGGCTAAAACTTCTTGTTCGGAGGTTAACTAAATGACAAAAGAATACTGCAAAAGTCAACTCATTAGGCGGAAAAAATAAAAAAGGGTAGGAAGAGTGCTGGTCTACTTTGCTCTAATAACGTCCTTGCCTTCCTACAATCTTCCATTTCTTTTTTAGTATACTTTATAATTCGATGTCATTATTTAAATTTTCGTTTGCGTAGGAGGAGGGTTAATAATAATAGAATAAGCCATGGGGCATACCAGACTTGTACCACCCCATCACTGTGCACCATTAATTAATTAATGAAACAACTAAATAGTATTACTTAGGTAAAATTAGTATTTGATCAAATATTAATTCATCATAGCTATTTTTTCCTTGCGCTGTAATGATTAAGTAATTCTGTAACCTCCATTAAAAAAGCTTCTGACCCACTTAAAAGTTAATGCACTGATTATTTAAGGCTACCATCTTTATTAGTAAAAGAGTATTATTTGAAGTAGTGAATAAGGTATTCCCTTTTTTTAACACCAATTTAAGAGCAAATTCAACTACTCAGCTTACTTGCAATTAAATTAGAGTTGATACTAGAATTAGCCCTACAAAAAATGGTCCCCCATCCGTGCGCCAATTTTACTTCATTTTCGCTCTTCTAGGCCCACCCGTGAAACTAACTAATAATTCAATTGACGTATGTAGACTAATTATTGAAGTTTTATTTATTACACAAGATTATTAGTTTTATTACAATTCGAGATATTGTAGCTACAATATTATAATTTTTAAAATTTTTTAATTTTTAATTTTTTTTAAAGTTACTAAGATGAGAATGGTATCCGTGTTTATAAATTTATGTTATGTTTCAGATAAATTTAAGTTTTCAATCTCCTTCTTTCCATTCTTTTTAAAAATTCCGAGAATTTCGTATTAATAGCGTCCTGTCATTATATAAGTATACAATATTAACCGGCCAAGCTTAAGTGACCCTTATTCCTAAGTGAATATAAGAAAAATTCCTAAACATTATGAGCCTTTGATACTTGTCTTCTCATATTACATATGCGTAAACTGAAAAAGCTGTAAGTACGCTCAACACAGTTATTTTCTGTCGGACAGTGTTGGGGTTTACAAAAGCAAAAATTGCTTTATTTTAAAAAGAATTTTTAAACTTTTGGTAACTAGTTCTAGCATTTATTCATTAGTTGTATATTTTGTGCTTTACATATGATAAATTATAGCTTAAAAGGTGTTCATTCAAAATCCCCCTTTTTTTTTTCAACACACAATAAACTTCTGTTTTTATTAACTTTCATGAGAAATAACAAAAGAGTATTTTCAAAGTTCTTGCAAATGCGGTTTGTTGCTACTAAGATACTACTAATATAACCACCCTTATTAATATGTATTTATCATGTAATATAAATTTAACTCTCTTAATCTCTTGATGATTTTCTTCTAAATCTAAGTTATACTATCTTCTGTAGTAGAATCTTAATAAATAATTTTCTATCTTTTAAAAACTAAATTTTATTCAAAACTCTTTGCATGTTCCATTATACTTTGAATTCCACTTGAGATGCATTCTTAACTAAATTTATTATCTAATAGATAGACCTTGAAAAGGTACAGGCCCTTACTTTTCTTTTAACTGGTTAATAGAGTAGTATATAATTTACTAAAAATTTTTTAACTACTCTTCTCTAAAGAGAGTGTCTATATCCCTTAAGGGGCATAAACAGAACGCAGTCTCTGTAAAAAAAATGCAAATAGAGATTGTTATATTTATATAACAATCTCTATTTGCATTTTTTTACTTCTTGAAAACTGAGACTAGACAGGATTGCTCAGAGCTTTTCTACCGAGATCCAATCGAAACAGTTTGTCGTTCTCTCTACTGGTTTTATATCGTAAATACTTTATAGCATGCGTTCTTAGTGTTTTTCTAGTTTACTTTGTTACAATTAAATTCTTTATCAGTAAGGAAATTTTCATGCAAACTACAGTGCAGCTCTAAACGTTATAACTGTTAAATTGTTATCTAAATCTGTTAAAATAAAAGTTCTAAACTTTGTGTCGCTTAGTAAAAAAATAGATTATTTCTTTACACGTTAGCTTGGTATACTGCCCTAAATTTAAAAATTCAATTTTTAAAAATAACATATATCACGTTTGGTGAGGGTACAGTTGTCCTTCAATCACCTCTCTCTTCCACCGAATTTAGGAACACGCAGATAATGGACATCTCCAAAAATTTGGACAGGTAGCTAAGGTGTTATTTTCTTAGCTGGTATTAATAAGAATATATATTATTATTACTGTAATAAAAGTAATTTATATGAAATTATTACAATTGTTAGTTCTTTAAATCCGCGTATTTAGTGTAAATACTACGGAGTTCTGACAATAAAATTGTCTTCACGATTCATCTATTAGTATTTTTTATTACATATCTTATATCTATAATAAAATCATATGTATAGGTTATTTGTTATAATATTGGTATAAACCCTGTCTGTATATATGTAAAAGTTTTACAGAACACTATAACAAACCCTGTATCTACTAGAAATGGGATTGTTTAAAACAATATGTAAAAAACACGTGCTGTGGTAATGTAGGCTCCTTAAGAACGCACTTAAATATCTTCTCTTCGAATATCAACGCTTTAAACTATAGGCAAAAATATATTTGATTCCAGAAATAATTTTTGGCTCTTTGAATCATTAACCAAACCCATTTTGCCTTAAAAAAGTGTAACAACAAATCTTAATACTCTTGAGAATAACTTCATTGATTAGCAATAAAAGAAGCACATAACTACAGGATCATTTGAGAAAAGTCTCGAAAGTGTGAAATTATAAAGTTAATAAAAACGAACAATTTAATTAATGCTTTACAATATAAGTGTTCTAGAATTTTTCCTAAATGGTTTGTTAAAAAAAACCTATACTTTTATGCATAATAAAAAAATGAAACAAACATCCACTACCTTCCTATTATTCCACTTTCTTATAGTAGCGTGGTGGTTTTCATTTTTTAATGCCTGGTTAAAAGCTTTTTAAGAAAGCACGGAAAGTCAGGCTCTTTTAATTTGCTTCTTTTCCGTACTAATTGAGAAGTGCTTGATTTGGCCTCACTAGTTTACCCTTCGAAGCCACCTTGATTTACTGTTTTTTTTAAAATTAGTGGTTAATCATTTATGAGCGACATAAATATATGTGATTAACCATTCTATTAGACAAAAAGATTTGTAATAAACAAAAAAAAATACCTATTAAGTTGCTCACTACTCTTTTCAAACCTCTGAGCTTCAAAATATTATAACCTCCCAGCTAGTTAGAAAAAATAAATTTAGAAAATGGAAAATGTTTAAGTGAATAACCACAAATTTTGTATTCCCATTTACTTAAATATATACTTACTTATTTTTTAATTAATATTGTAGTTATTTACTATAAAAAATACAGTTTTACTATACCAATTTTTTTGTTTAATATTTAGTACAAAAATCCAAATGCTGTTACCACGCAGTAAGTAGCCAATAATAGATAGCAATGCAACGATTAGATTTATAAGATATCTAAGTTTTAACAAAATACTTTTATTGTATATCACAGCTGCGTACGATAGAAATTTTTTTTTTGTATATATTTTGAATACGGCTTGTATGGTAAAGCAGACTTATATATAGCTTAAGGCTTTTCATTTAAATTATTATAATTATTAATATATATATTTAAGGACAAAATAATAAATTATTTGTTTCGTAACAAAAAAAAGATTTTTCGCTATATGAATTTTACTTACAATGAGTCAAACTGAACCAGAGGAAGGCTCTCTTTTGTTAGAAGAGAGTGCTGAAAAGTTGCTTGCCCCCCCTTCTGTTTCGGTTAGTGACAGTTAACAAGTCATTACAATTTATAAAAAAAAAAAATTATATATATGTCCCGAGAAAAGACGATAATTGCATATAAGAGTTATAAGAACTATTCAAAATCTTTTTTATAAAAAATAATAAATAAAAAATGGATAAAAATTAAAAAATATTAATAAGTAGAATTTACAAAAGTAAATTAAAATTTAATAAAAATATAATAACAAGAAATAAACAAAAAATAATAAATGTTTACTAATATAATAAACTAATCGGAAATAATAATAATAAATCTTAGCTTGTGATTAAAAAATTTAACGGTTAGGAGTTTCCTATTTTCAACCAAGAAGCTGCTTATGATGATTTCACAACTATTGACTGGTTTAGGGATTTAAATCAAGAAAGAAACAGACAAAGAATACTTGCCAGAAAAAAAGTATAAAAATAATAATAGTATATTTTATAAAGCATAAAAAATATTAAATTTTTATCAAAAGCGACAAAACTATTTTGGATGGATTCGAAAGATTTTAGGAGATGCTTGGCAAGGTGTTCTTCACGATTTTAGATTAGCTATAAATAAAATTTTAAGTTCAGCAGCTAAAATATTTATTATGAAGGAGGTGTTTTAGGATTAATCCTGAAAAAAAAATTTAAATGAAAAATATTAAACTATCAATATAAAAATTTGTTTAAAAAAGTTTGCAATAATAATTTTTTAATAAAAAGGTTGGCTGGTAACATTTTTAGTAGGAATTACTGTTGGAGGAGTTTCTGGTTTTGTGGATTTTCTGGTTCAGTGGCTGAGTAAGCATAATTATATAATAATAATAACTATTATTTTGAAAATTAATATTCAATTTTTTAATTTAAAGTATTTTTTATAGATGATTTAAAGTTTGGAGTTTGTTGTACTGCTTTTTGGTTAAACAAAGGTTATTGTTGTGGTAATCAAAGAGGTTTTTAGTTAATTTTAAAAATAATGCTTTAAATTAGTTATACTTTATTATTATGTAATAAATAATTAATTTTATAATATTTAAATATATAATAAAGATTATATCCAAAATTTATTTTTAATTTTTTATATATATACTTTTAATAATTAGCGAATTGTGATTCGTGGAAATCGTGGACGGAATTAATTTCAGTGAACTCTAATTTTCTCGCGTTTATTTTTTATGCATTTTGGATGGTTTTTTTTTATTGTTAATAAATTTAATTTGTGCTAATCTAAATTTTAAGATTTAAATTAAATCTTAATTTTTTATAAGTTAATTTTATAAATTTATTTATATAATAATATTTTAATTATAATTTTTTAATTATATATAAATTTATAGCCCTTTTTTAATAGAAAGGAAGATTTGTTAATGATTAAAATTTTGTGCTCAGCTTTCAAGTCTTAATATATTTATAACTCTTTTAACTCTTTTTTAGATTTAATTTTATATAAAAACACTTATTATATCAAAATATTTGAAATTTTTTAAAAAAAAGTTTATTTAGTAAATTATTTTAAGTAGTGCTCATCTTTCGGTTATTAATATATTTAGTATATAAATATTAGTTACTGACTTAATTTAATTTGAGTTCAACTTTCGGATTTTAAGTTTTTTTTAGAAACTAATATTATTTATTTATTTTAATAACTTTTTTATATATAAAATTTTCCTCTGTATCTTTTTATTAATTACTTTATTTAATTTGTAATCAACATTCGGATTTTAATTTTGCCATTTTATAAATAATTTTTTTTTATAAATTTATAATAACTTTTATATATAATCGCAATTAAAATATTTTCATTCATTTTTTAATTTTTTTTTTCCAGCTTCTTTTTTCAGTCCTTTCTGGTGTTCTTGTAGTTTTCTTTGCTCCTTTTTCTGCTGGTTCTGGTATTTCCGAAGTAAAAACAATACTTTCCGGTTTTGTGATCCGTCGATTTTTGAATTTTAATACTTTAATAGTGAAAATTATTGGAACGGTAATTAATTTTTTTCAAAATTTTATGTAATATAATTTACTCTTTTAAAAAATTATATATATAATATCTTTTTTAACTTTTTTTAATTATTTTATATAAAAACTTTTATAAATTTTTGTTTAGTTGTAAGTAAATTTAAAAAATATATTTGAATTTTATTTTAATTAGAAAAGTATATATTTTAATAAAATAAAAAAATAGAAATAATAGTAATATAAATTTAATTAGTATTAAAAGTGTTTAAAATTATTTAAAAAGGCATTTATAAACTTTACAATATTAAGAAAAAGAAATACCCATGTAATATTGTAAGAAAAAAGATTATTAATTAGCACAAGCATATTAATAAACAATAAGCTGGCCAGCGAGAAATTATTAAGTCAAGTATATTTACTTTAGATATTTTTTATATATAAATTTAACTTTTCTTTAAATAAAAAAATTTATTTATATAAATATAATTTTACTTTTACTGAAAATATTTTCGTATAAACTTTTATATTTTTAATAGTTTACTTTTCTGACTTTGGAATAAAATTTACTTTTTTTTTTTCATTATTCTTTTATATAATTTCTTTTTCTAATTATTTTTCTTTAATTGTTTTATTCAAAACTTTTAGATTAAAAGTTAAATTTATTACATTATTATTATAAACCTTTTTACTATATTTTTTAAAAATACTATTTTATATATATTTTCTTTATAATTGTTTATTACTATATATTTTTTTATATAAAAACTGTATTAAATTTTTTTTTTCATAATATGTTATATTCAAATTTGATTTTCTAAAAGAAATTTTATAATTATAATTTTAAAATTTTAATAAAGTTTTGAGAGTTATATTAATCTTGTAAACTTTTATACTAAATTATTTTGTTATAATTATAAATTTATTACTTTATTTAGTTTTACTTGTTTATTATTTTTTTATACACTTCTTCTTTAAATCCTAAAGAAAAACTTTCCTTCTATCGTTTTCTTTTATAATATTTATTAAACTTTTTTTTTTTAAAATTAATATAAAAAAGCATTTAAAAAGTTTACTTTCCGTTTACTTTTTTTTATAAAATTCTTATATAGTTTTATTAAAAAAAAATTTTACTTTTTTTTATATATATAACAATAATTTACTTTTTTTCTATTTTTTAATTAAATTTATGATAATAGTTGACTTTTTGTTTATTTTTATTGTACTTGTAAGTTATTTACTTTTGGTCTTTTATAAGTAGAAAACTTTTTATAATTTTTTTTCTTTGATAGTTTAATTTTATTTATGTTTCTTGTTTTTTTTAAATTTATTTTTTTAAATTTTTTAAATTACTATAAAAAATTAATTTTACTATATTTTATAATTTTTATAAAACTTTTTTACTTTATATTTATGTTAATAAAATTTTATTGGTTTTCTATATATAAAAGTTTACATTTTTTAATAATATTTTTTTTTTATTTTTGGTAATTTCACTTTTTATAAATTTTACTAAAATTAAATTGTAATTTATAAAACTTTTTATCTTTTATTTATGTTAATTAAATTTCAATCGATTTTAATATACAAAAGTTTATTTATTATTATTTATATTCTAAAAAGTTCATTTTTATTAACTTTACTATATAAAAATAATAAAAGTAAAATATATTCATTATTTTTTAAAAACTTTTTTTTTAATTTTGATGATATCACTTTATAATTTATAAAAAATTGATTTTATTATATTTTATATAAATAAAACTTTTTTACTTTGTTATTTCCCATTAACTCTTTATTTATTTTTTATAGTCAAAATTTTTGTTTTTATTATACTCCTGATAAGTTTATATTTATTAATTCTTAATAATAATAATATAAACTTATTTTTTTCCGGATTTTTGTGCTTTAATCTTTTATTAATATAATAAAAATATTAATTTTATTATATTTTATGATATTTAATTAAACTTTTTATTTATTATATATACGTAAACATTTCCTTTATTAATAATTTCCTCACAAGTTTATTTATATGAATTTTTATATATGATTATTATTTATAGCCATTGTTATTATATATTCTATTATTATTATCATTATTAATATTGTTATTACTATAAAAGTGTCTTTCGGTATCTGCTGGGCTCTCATTGGGTAAAGAAGGTCCTTTTGTGCATATCGCTAGTTGCCTGGGTGCGTTATAGTGCATTACCGTTGGTTAAAAATAAAAAAATATTTTTTTTTCCTGTAGGGAATGTTTTTTCTATCATTTTTGAAAAGTATCGCTGCAATGAAGGTAATATATAAATAATAATACTTATAAAAGTATAAAAAGCATATAAGCATATATTAAAATGTATAAACTTTTATAAACTTTCTAAAAATTAATAATAAAAATATAAGATTATAGAAATTTTTTTTCTTAAACTTTTTTCACTATTTTTCATGTTCATTAATTTGTAGCGAAAAAAAGAGAGTTGCTCTCTGCCGCGGCCGCCTCTGGGGTTTCTGTTGCTTTCGGTGCACCAATCGGTGGAGTTCTTTTTAGTTTAGAAGTAAAAGCTTGTGATTTTCTGTTTATTATAAGTTTCTCATGTGAAGCTTTTTGGAAGCTCGTGTATATTATTATAAAAAGCAAAAGTTTTTTATGATTTTTAATTTTTTTTATATATAAATAGTTTCCTGACTTTTTTATTGGTAGAGATTTTTGTTGTTAAGTTCATTATAATTCAGACTTTTAAGCTAAACTTTAAAAAACTTTTCTGTAGGAAGTCAGTTATTATTTTCCCCATAAAACCATGTGGCGCTCATTTTTTTGTGCTCTCACTGCTGCCTCTGTACTGAAGGTCTTTTTTTATTGGTGTTTTTTTCTATTCTCTAAGGAGGGAGAAACAAAAGTATTTGGATCCCGCGAGGACAGGATGTTTGGTGAATTTATCGGTTGACTATACTACTCCATGGCACGTGTGCGAAATACCAGCCTTTTTTCTCATTGGCTTACTTGGGGTACACATGGATATATAAACCACATGTGATTTATTCTTACACAGCGTAGGCATGGAGCACGTGACTTTTATAGCTATTTTATATACTTAAAACGCGTATTTGGGTACTTTCTATTGATATTTTTTAAGTCGGGGCCCATTTTATCTGGTCTACTTATTTAATTTCAAGCGATGACCAGAGTAAACAGTTCAATTTCTCAACTTGTTTTTCTTATCTTGTGAGAAATAGATATATTTTCTGCACTGCTGGGGACAGTGGACAAGTGCTCACCATGTGCTTTAATGATACAAATTAACATACAATGAAAACTACTAAGTGCAGCCAAATTGCTTTCCATGCACCTATTGTTCTTCTCATATTTTTTTTCATTAGCTACGCTTTGTTGTTGCAATTTAATATTAAACTGGCACTTTTAAATGACTAATTGTGTTATATAAAATTACTTATATTCTGTTTGCTGGTCTTTTTTTGGTAACTTTTATTCTTTGTCTGGTATAAACAGGCAGAGTTTACTACTTTATTTAATGATCGTCATTTGCGTTACTTGTGCACGTGACTGTGTTGGGAGTAAGCGTTTTATAAGTTCGCTTTTTGAGTTTATTGTATAAAAAATAACGGTTTCAAAAGCTTAATTCTATATAATAAACTATAAACTAATATTATTATACAATAATAATTGCGATAATACGTCTTTATAGGGAGTTTATGGCTCATTGTTTGTAAAGGCAAACGTGTGGTGGAATCGATATCGGGCCACGTGCTTTATACGTCGTTACCCAATAAGAGAAATTTTAGTCATAGCCTCTCTGACTGCCGTCTGTAAATATCCCATACATCTGTTGAGGTGTCTTTTTCATAATAATAATGACAATAATAATGAATTGAATTTGTGAGCTATTTTGATGCTTCCAATACTGTTTTTGATTCAATTTAAGCTTCAAACTGTCTACTTTTATCTTATCTGCCACGTACTACTGGCAGGGCGTATAAGCAATATTTATTTTTACTTTCCTTTTTAGTACAGCATTACCTGTACTGGTTTTTCTAATTTTTTTAATTAGCTATAATAAGAAAAAGTAGAATATTTTTTAAAGGTTAATAAATCGACAAAAAAATTAATGAAAACAAAAAATTTATATTGCTAAAAAAAAATAATACTATAATATTTTAAATATATATATTAATTGTAAAAAAAAAATAATAAGTAAAGTTTAGTGTAAAAATTCTAATTAAGTTTAGCAGTTAAAATTTTAATTCCTATTAAAAAAAATATTTGAAGAATGTATAATAAAGTTTTCGTGATATTTGTTGTCCTTTTAGTAAAAAAAACTTTATAATAATAACTTTTAACTACCTTAGAAAAGTTAGAGTGTTAATAAGTTTATTACTTTTTAATATATTCTGAAAAAGAATGAATACAACTGATTCGTTAAAGTTACTTCTTTCAAAGTGCACGTCAAGCTCTACTTTACTTGACTGGTACTAAACTTTTTTTTTTTATAAAAGTTTTTTTTTAGAATAAAAAATAAATATTTTTTAAGGTTTATTAACAATAACAAAATAATGAAATAAAAAATTATGAACTTATACATTCCTTTTTAGTATAAAAGTTTCAACGTTAAGGATGAATAACTTTTTTTAATTAGCAATGAAGAATACTTTAAAGCAGCTTGTGTGCTCATTATTTCGGTGGCCTTTACTTTAATATTAACGGCTCTTACATTCGGAATTCAGGTGCTTTTCTGGTTTTTTGTGAGTATAAGTTTATTTTAAATACAAATTATAAAGAAGGTGCATTATTATTTTTAAAAAGAGTGAAATAAAGTTTATAATAAATATATAAAATAATAAAGTATTTTCCTGACTTTTAAAAAAATAAGTAAAGTTTATTATAAAAATAATGAAATAATAAATAATTGCAGGTGCCTGCTGGCATATTTATACCGTCCATGTCCGCTGGCGCGATGATGGGACGACTGGTCGGAATATTCTTCCAATGGCTGCGACGGTCCATTAAATTTTATGAATTACGTTTTAAAATTTTTTTATTGGTTGTATTAAAAAATTATTATTTTTAAATTTGTTTTAATGTGGCAGTAAACTTAGAGAAGTATTTCTGCTTTACATCTTTAGAGTATCGCCGTTTCGATTTGTATATATATTTGTGATAGGTAACCGGCGTTAAATATAATGAAAAGCTGACGCTCAATATTTATAGCGATAATTTCTTATTTTGCCATGTGACTATCAATGTCCATTAAAAAAGATATATGAGAGTCCCATCCTCAACATTTTATATAACGAATTATATAACTAGAGGAAGCATCTCAAAATTAGCATTAAAAAAAGTAATGAAGATGCTAATATCCAAAAAAAAAAATTTAACGACTTTATATAACATTATAATTATAACGCCAATTTCCCTCGTATTTTTTTCTTTTGCTACCGATGTCATTAGTTAGGGTGAAATGGCAATATCCAACTTTTTTAACAAGCCTCGAATAATATTTAAAAAATCGCCAAGTTACCTCGAGATTTTTCTTCAACCTTTAACAACACTAATTATAGTGAAACCCCGATGTACGGTCTTAAATAATTTTAAAATAGCGCCAGTATGCCCAGTATATTTTCCTTTTAATTATAGAGACATTAATTTTAGTGTAACGTCACTGCCCGACCCAACATTTGTATACAAAACTTTATATACCTTTAGAAATAGCGCAACTTTGACTCGTATTTTTCCTTGTAAAAACAATTCGTATTGCATTAATCCCGGACTTTATGCCCTTTGCGGTGCAGCTGCCGGATTGGGTGGCGTTACAAGGATGTCCGGTTAAAAAAATATAATTACCACTATATATTTTTTACTTTCCATATTTTTGTTGTCATTATAATATTATTTAGTTTCACTGGCTGTTATTCTATTTGAGCTCACTGGGGGACTGACGTATATAATTCCCATTATGATCACTATCGTCACTAGCAAGTGGATTGGCGACGCTTGTGGGTATCCCCTACAATTTCTTTTATAATTGTTGATTTTCATTTAATAAAAAAGTATATAAAAAATATTTTCATGTATTTTGCTTCAAATATACTCAATATTTACGTATTGAGTTTTATTTTGCGGATTTTTAAGTAAAATATTGCTATTTACTAAATATATTATAATATTATTTTTATGAATTTCTTATTCGATAAAATTTTTTCATGCTTTTTAATAATTTTAGTAATCTTTCATTATATTTTCATACACCTTAAAAAAATATTCTTTTACATTTTTACTATGAAATTCACTAATATAATAGTACTTCGGGGATTTATGACGAACACATTCGCTTAAAAGGTTATCCTTTTTTGGACAGGTGACTTACTTTTAATGAAATATTTCCTTTTGGTAGTTTCAGTAATATTTATGAAACACAGTTTATCGAATTAGAAAACGCTGCTTTTCGTAGTATTTCCTATTGAAATTTTATTATTTTTAGTTTTTTTATGATTCTTTGAATTCGCAAATACCCGAGCACCACATGCGTTGTTTTTAGTGATTTTCTTTTTAAAGCAAATGTGAATACTCGTCGACGACAACTGCAAGGGAAATACTGCATCCCCAGCACAACGAACCGCCTTTATGTGTTTTACTAGAAAAAGGAAATACCGTTGGCTCATTAAGTATAATTATTTTGTAGTAAAAGTTTTAAACGTATTTACAATAATTTCTATGCGTAAAGTTTATGAATTAACGAATTTATTAAATGAAAATTGAGGATATTATTAACCAATGAAATTGCGTGTTTTTAATATAATTTTTAATTTTTTTTTATCAACTTGATAATTTTATTAAATCTTGATTGGTTAATTTTATTAAGGACAAAAAGTATTGATATTAATGCAAAGTTAAAAGTTCAACAATTTTTTCAAAGAAACTTTCAAAAGTAATAAAAGTTAATTTTTAATAGTTATAAAAAATTGAGATAAAAAATATTTTGATAAATAATAAAATAACCAAAAATAAGAAAAACCGTTACTTTCATATTTTATAATAAACCAAAATTATAGTAATATATATTTGTACTTTTATTTTTCTTCATTATTGTTTATTTTTCATTTATATAAATAACAAAAGAAAGACTTTTAAAGGAGTCGCCTTATAAAGGATTTCCGCTTATTGACAATCTTGAATCGCGAGGATCGCTCGGATTTGTTAATCGGTTTTTTTTAGCCATACTTTTAGTGATAGAAAAAAAAATAGTGAATGAAGATTGATAAATATACTTAAAAAGCCATTTGCGTTATATATAAAAAGTTTTTAAAATATTAATAGTTGATAAAAATCTAGAAAAAAAATATATAAGAAAAAATTATAAAAGTTAACAGTTTTTAAAACTTTTTTAATACATTTTAAAATAAATAATAATAGTTTTTTTTAAGAACATGTAATATTAATTCGTACTATAAACTTTTTATAAACACTTAAAAAGAATTTTTATTTTCTAATAATTCGTGCATTTTTTCATTACAAAAAAGCAAAAAGTGTTTGTCCAATAAAAAAAATTGAAAACTCAAATTTTCTAGTGATAATATTTAATATAAAAATGAAATAATTTTACTGATTGGAAAAAATAAATAATCTATGATAATATATTTATAAAATAAAATTAATACAATAAATCTTGTAATTTTATATAATAATTAATATTTTTATAATTCATAATTTTTTAAATAATATTTAAAGTTAAAAAAAAAAAATTAAACTTTATAAATTTATATAAATAATCCAGGTTAAAAATAAAAAAATAATAATAGTAAATAAATTTTATAAGTAATTTAATAAAGTTAAGAAAAAGTAAACATTTATATGAAACAAAAATATTATAAAACGTTTATGTTATTATTTGTATTATATATTTTTAATTTATAATTTTTTATGCAATATTTAAAAATATTTTAAAAAATACTAAAGTTTTTTTTTATTTTTCCTTTTGTGTTACTTTTATTTGGATTTTATATAATAATCTTTATAATATTTTTAATTTTAATTTTTATACCATATTTAAGAATATTATGAAAAATATTGTAAAACTATTTTTACTTTTACGTGCTTTTTATTTCTATTTTATTAATTATATAATAAACTTTATAATATTATAGTATTTCATAACTTTTTATACAATTTTTAAAAAATTTTATGAATAATATAATTAAACTATTATACTTTTATTTTTATTAGATAATATTACAGTTATGAATATGTTATTTTACATTTTTTAATATCAACTTTATATTATACTTTTTATCAATAACTATTTTTCTACAACATTCAATATTATTTTTTACTTTTTATTAAGAATTGATTTGACAACCGCTATAGAAAAAATCAGTGAATCGACTGAAGTTTCCGAAGCAACAGTAGTTTTTTACTAATAGCGAACAATCAAAAATAAGTTTTATTATTTTTATACCAAAAAAGAGTGTTTGCTTTACTTTAAAAGATTGGAAAACTTACAATCTTTGTATAAACTTGGCCCACATAAACACGGTAAATATATATATATATTAAAAATATATAATAGATAGCTTATTTTTTTATGGAAAACTTTATAAAATAAAGAAAAACGTGTCTGGCAATAATAATAATTTGATAAGGCGGTATGTAATTTAATTGGCGCCTTCTAAACCAATCGCGGTTTTCTTTATTAAGAAAAACAATTTTTATTGGTATATAAAGGTGATGCGAAAATAGTTTCAATTGGTGGAGAATAAAACGTCGGAGTAGCGTTTAAAAGTTTACTTTAATATTAGAAATGAAATAGTATTTAAGCGCTTTACAGAGGAAGTAGTCAAAGTTCTATAAAAATTAAAATTAAAAAATAAGAAAGGGTTAAAGAAACATTTGTTACCACAAAAAAAAAATTTATAGAAAATTTAGAAAATTTCACCGGAAGAAATATATATACTTTGAAAGTTATTAATTTCTGAATTCTATTACAAGAAAAAGTTAAAACTATAAAATTCTTTAAAAAATCCTAATTTAGGCATTAGGCAAATATTCATTTTTAAGATGAAATAAAATAGTTATCCGGGTATTAATGTTTTTTTATAAATATAAGTAAAATGAAAATTCAAAAAAGATGTTATAAGGACTTTATAATCTTTAACACTTTTCATTATTTATACAAAAAGTTTTTAATACTTAGTTAATAATTATTATCAACTTTGATTTTAAAAATAATCGAAATAACGTAAAAGATTCCCATTCAAGTTTCAGAAGAGATGCCTCTTGACATGATAGTTGATCTTTTTCGAAAGTTGGGAGTCAGGTAACTTTTAACAAGCATAAAAACTAAAAATTAAAAAAAAGTGTCAACGAAATTAATACATAAAAATTTAATATAATTTTGTTTGTATATAATTTTGGTATTAAAAAAATTTAGGTATCTTTTGGTAGTTACACACGGAGAACTAATTGGACTGATAACCAAAAAAGATTTGCTAAAGCATTTGGCTAGTGTTTATAGACAAGATCCGGAGTTAATATTATATTATTGAAAAAAAAAGTTTTAAATAAATAGTTATTATCATGCAAATAAGTTTCGCGCTTGTTAAATTAAGTTATATAAATTATATAAAGGCCACATTAAGCATTTATTGTATAAAAGTTACAAAGGAATATTGAAGATTATTATTTCTATTAAACTATTACGTTGCCCATGTTTACATTTCGTACTAATAAGTTTTAAAAGAAATTACAAGCCATTTTAATGAATCATATACGCCGAGTAAATAAGCGTTGCACTTTTTAATATTTACTTATAAAAATTTACAGCAAAATAATTGATCATGCAAAGCCTATCAAGCGATGCTGCGATAGTGCTGTACTTTGAAATACACTAAAAATTAACTTTAGTTAAATGCTACCCTCAAGCCTAGTAGAAGGCCAATGATCTGTTTATGATGATAAGTATGAACTTATTTTAGATAAATAACTAATTATCTGATAATTATTATTTTAATAAATTATTACAACAAAAGAAAAACAAAAAACAAAAAAAGTTTTTAACTTATACAAGAAAACAGAATTAAAATTTTTATAAAATATTTAACTATGAAATTCTCAGGGGAACTGCATTTAAAACAACTTTTTAAAATTATATCTCCAAACTGTACTACATTAAGGCCCTAAATTTATACATAACGAATACTTACCTTAGAGGAAACTATGAAAGCAATGATTTAAAAAATCAAATAAAAACTTTTTAGTATGGATATATTTTTTTAAGACATCTTTTTAATATAAAAGTTGTAGGCAGAGGAATTGATCTGAGGAACAAAAAAACTACTTGATAAAAGTATAAATTAATCTCTACACAAGTTCTCGTAATTGGTAAAGTATACCGCTCGATGTGGAAAAGTTCTAAGGTTCTAATTTAAAATTAAGAAGTGATGACTATTCTGGAAGAGTTAAAGTTCCTCTTAAATTAAGATCTTTAGAATCACCGAAAATAAATGTATTAAGTAAACACGACCAAAAAGTCAGAAATAAAATGTTCAGTATTACATGACGACTTAAAAATTCGAAACTTGCCGAGCTTGAAAATTTAAAAGAAGGCTAAAATTCACCTACACCCCTGAAAACAGAAACTGATTTTTACCTCGACAATAATGACAGGGCTACTTTATTATTAACAAAGTTAGTTACCAGAGTTACCGGATAAAGAACACTTTGTAAGACCGAAAGTAGCAGTGGGAAGGGCTCTGGAGCGCAATTTGCGAGTGTCAACATTGGTTAAACGCTTTTACGACATCAAGAAGGATGGCGCCTGTTGCCTCCTTTAAATGAAGCACGGGTTATCCCCCTGTTAGGAGAAGAGTCGTTGAGTCGTGGGTGTCCTTTTAGAAATTCAAATTAACACTGGCAGGGCGCGGCTTGCCTGCAAATTCTTTCAAAGGGCGCAGTATGACCGCCTCAGCTACTTTGCCAACGGCTGACAAGAGGTTAATAGGCCTGTATTTGCCTGGCGTGGATTCTGGGCGTGGTGTCCCCGGGAGCATCACAACAGTTGCCGTCTTCCAGCGCAATGGGAAAATGCCGAGAGCCATTGTAGGTTGATGAGGCCGCATAGACGTTATTCCGCCACCACTGATAATTGCTTTAACATAACATTTTATGATACTGTCGGGACCAGGCGTCTTTCATCTCTGTAGAGCGTTAAAAATCTCTATTAAATCGACTATGGTAAATGGCTCAAGCTGTTCCTCACCATTAGCGAGGAAGTTTGTTTACAAAGAATTTCATTACAATTAGATAAGCAAAAGTGTCATAGATGGAGTGTCGAGGTAATTAGTGAAAAGTGTCGCTTTGTCAGCATTATTTTCCCTTCAAGTTAGCTTCTCGAATAGTAGGTAACAATAATAAACGCGCTTGGTTTTGTATTTCCTAATAACATTCCAGAAAGAGACATGACTGTTACCCTTATCTTCCGATATATTACCTTATTCTCCCACAATTGTTTGTGGTGCGCCAACAGCTTTTTAAACGCTAATTTATTTCGATGCTTGGTGAAAACGTAACCTTTTTCCTTAAGAAAACTTGCTTCCTTATACATCCCTCTTCTAGAATTTTCGAAATATTTTGATGCCTGAGCTTATAAAGAATTTTCTAATAAAACCACGCAAGCATTGGTGCTTGTCTGTAAGGGGATCCAAGGAGTAACGCAATTAAGAGGTTGTGCAGTATAATTTTTGGTAGTGAGGCTTTAAGGACAAACATACTCGACACTATAATAGCTAAGTTTAGTTAAAGCTATCAAAGGTTACAACTTTAAAAAAAAACGAGCCTCGTACTATTTAACTTTGAGAACGCTTTGAATACGGATGACTTACACTCTTGTACGTACTCTATTTTTTTAACTACCCGCTGGCTATGCTTATGTTTTTTTAAAATTTTTTAAGAGGACTTATGATCAAATGCAATTATGGATGCAATAAATAAAGAAAAAATTCAAGTCTCCCTGCTGTCTCCTATACTATTTTTTTGTTTCATGTATGTGGTAGAACACCTTTTAATAGAAAAAATATTGACGTCAAAAACCGCAAAAATTTATAAGAGAGCTAGAGAAAATAACTAAGAGTCGTTACTCTACGGTAGATAAGATGACATCCATGTTTCTTTTAGCTTTATTTTAATCTAATATTAAACTTTAATTTTTATACGCCTCAAAATTAAAATTTTTTTAATATTGCCTACTACTAACCAGTAGGCGGTTGAAACCAGAAACCCTAACTTTAAGGTGCTAAAACAACCTAATTTTAAAAAAGCGAAACAATTTTATTAAATTAAAAAGGCAGATGGTCCTTTTGCTTATCAAATTACACAAAATCTAATAAAGCTTTAAAAGTTAAGTTTAACTTTACGGCCTTGCATAAACGAACTGCTCATTAAAAAATCACCATCCTACTATTTTTCAAAAATATTAAGAGCTAATTATATCTTCATACAAATGCAGGACTAGATAACAAATTTCCAACAAATTTCATTTGTAATAGTACTATTTACGTTATACACTCCGTATTCACTTGGTTTATTGGCACTTAGCGAAATAAGCTTGTTTTACCTTTATAACCAAAATATTTTAGCCATTAGATATGCTACGCAATATATAAATCTAAGTTCTCAAAAGTTTGATTTTCCATTAACAGCTTAGCTCGTAGAGCATTATGCTTATATTTTAACACAACCATATTCCAGAGTAACTTCATTAATTTTTGCTGTTTTCTTCTATATCTTCGAAACCTACATAACATTTTGAAAAATATTATTGATAATTGTTAAAGTAAAGTAAAAAAATTAATAAGGTAAGAACCAGCAAAAATCATTCAGTGGATAAGGCATAGTGATATTGTAGCGACTTTTCATCATGAAATAAAATTTATTCCAAAGAGTCGTAACAAAATCCACATCGATAACTTTTTGTGCATTTTTATTTTCTATTTCTTCGCTCTTTGACTGATTTTCTTTATTTACTTCAGTTTCACTATCCTCTGTTTCATCTTCCTCAATAGGCGTTAACTCTTGTTTTTTGCTTAGTTCTTCATGAACTAAATCAATCACGAAGGCGTAAGGCATTCTATAAAATGTATAGCCAGCGGCCGCCATTTCGTATACCTATGAGTATTATATATCATGTCAGTAACTTTCGACAGTTCTGTAATGATAAATTTTATTTAACTAATGCGTTCTATGACGTGCAATAAAATCACAATTTCAAACCTGTTGGGCGTAGTTCCCCCCTCGATTTATAAACTCCTCATGGAAAAACGGAACCTTTGTTTTTGCTATATAATAAGGCTCAAACTTTGTTATATATTTTAACTCAGTTGTGCTATTGTCGTAAAACCATTCAAAGTGGTTTGTAGGGCCTTTTACAAAGTAAACAGTTATATTAAACATTACATATTATTATAATTCTCCGCAGTTTAAATAAATAATGGATCTATTATTTGTACTTATTCACGCGCCTACTGCTATTCACCACAGTTTATTAACTTTATGTACAAGATGGAAACTATACTCGTTACATCTCTAATATGGGACACAAAAAAAATAAAGTTTACATCTTGTTTCTCTTTATAAAACCTTAATATTTTTATATAAAAATTTAAATAATTTTTTAATGCGCTCATACCAAAAATAGAAATTGAGGGCTAATGTATAATATAAATAAAAAATTAATTATAACCGTAAGCAGGGCTAAAGTATAAATGCATAGGCTTTGCTTCTCCGTTCATCATTTTTTCAATTATATCCATTTTTTTTAATAAACCTTTTTCAGCGCTTTTCTCAATTGTTTTATCCTCAGAATTGCTTAGAGAATTAGGAGAAATATTAAAGGTATCAATTAGGATGTTTGGGCCAAGACGGTCGAAGTCTGGTTTCAAATTGGTTGTTGAGGATCTTTTAAGAAACTCTTGTAAAGTCGCAGCTTTCATCTCTACTGCAACTGGGACGTATGCGTGAAGACCATTACATTGCTTATCCCTTTTTATTTTTTGTTGATCCTCTATAGATTGTATAAGCCAACCCTTGTAGGTTTCGTGATCAGCGTTCGGAGTAAGATCCACATCGGTAATAAAGGCATAATTTGTTCTTACACCTAAATATATATAACATTGTTATTATATAGTAATCGTTCTGATGGACTTAATTTTTTAAGTCAAATAAAACCTATTTATAACCTTTTTTACTTTTTACTACTCATAAAAGTTTAACAACATCTTACGACTACAGACAAAATTCTATCAAACAAGCAAGGTCTACCTTGCAAACCTAAATTTCGTAAGAAGTTAATTGGATAAAAGGACTCCTGCTCCGTAGAGCTTTGATTATGGCGCCAGACAACGTGAATATCCACGAATCTCTTGATATACTCTGTAAATAAAATATATTACAAAAAAAAAATTAAGTATAAGAAAGCATAAAGAGATAAAAGGACAAATTTTTTTTTTTAAAAAGGCTTAATGTAAGCTATATTAAGTAATGTTAACACATA